AACATATGAAGAAGGGTTGCAGGAACTGGGTATGTTGAGTTTAATGAAAAGAAGGACTAGGGGAGACACAATAGTAGTGTTCCAATATTTGAGGGGCTGCCACAAAGAAGAGGGAGTCAAGCTAGTCTCCAAAGCATCAGAAGACAGAACAAGAAGCAATGGGTGGAAACTAATCAAGGAGAGATGCAACTTCCTGACAGCGAGAGCAGCTAATCAGTGGAACGGTTTGTCTCCAGAAATTGTGGATACTCCATGTTTTTCAGTTTCAGCCACTTGTCTGAAATGGTATATAGGGTATATAGGGTTTCCTGCCTATTCTCTATTCTCAAACTATTCTCCAAAGCAACTGAGGGTAGAAGAAGAAGCGATGGGTGGAAACTAATCAAGGAGAGATGCAACTTCCTGACAGCGAGAGCAGCTAATCAGTGGAACGGTTTGTCTCCAGAAATTGTGGATACTCCATGTTTTTCAGTTTCAGCCACTTGTCTGAAATGGTATATAGGGTATATAGGGTTTCCTGCCTGAGCAGGACTATTCTCTATTCTCAAACTATTCTCCAAAGCAACTGAAGGTAGAACAAGAAGCAACGGGTGGAAACTAATCAAGGAGAGAAGCAACTTAGAACTAAGGAGACATTTCCTGACAGTGAGAACAATTAATCAGTGGAACAACTTGCCACCAGAAGCTGTGAATGCTCCAACACTGGAAGTTTTAAAGAAGATGTTGGATAACCATTTGTCTGAAGTGGTGTAAGATTTCCTGCCTAAGCAGGGGGTTGGACTAGAAGACCTCCAAGGTGCCTTCCAACTCTGTTATTCTATTCTACTGAAAGCTCCCTTCCAACTCTTCTGTTATTCTGTTATTCACCTTCCACAATCACCTTTGAAGGGTCTGTGAATGAATCAAGCAACCACCAAACAGGAAAGAGGAAATTTTTGCTGTAGGAGTCTGTTTCTCACATGAAACACTGAAACAAGCTACAATTCAGTGGTGAAATTTAATTTTTTTTAAATTATCGATTCTGTGGGCGTAGCAGGGGAAGGATACTGCAAAATCTCCATTCCCTCCCCACTCTGGAGCCAGCCACAGGTGGTATTTACCAATTCTCCAAACTACCTTATTTTTCAGAGTATAAGACACACCTTTTTTCCTCAAAAAAGAGGCTGAAAATCTGGGTGCGTCTTATACACTGAATACAGCATTTTTTGCCTCCCAAAATGGCCATGCGGAAAAACGGGCCATTTTTTGCTCATTTTTGCCACCCTAACCCCTAGGAACAATCTATAAGCCTCCTAAAGGCTATCCATGCCCTTTTTTGGACAAAAAAACAGGCTGTTTTTTTGCTCATTTTCCCCCCCAACCCCCCCTCCCCCAGAGCACTCTACAAGTCTCCTAAAGGCTATTCAGACCCTTTTTTGGGGGGGGAAATGGGCCCGTTTTCGCAAAAAATGGACTGTTTTGGGGAGATTTGCAGAGTGCCAAAACTTTTTTTTTTTTAAATTTGCCTCTTCAAAACTTTGGTGCAACTTATACTCCGGAAAATACAATACTCAAAATTTCCACTACCGCTTCTCCAGAACCTGCTTAATTTCACCCTCTGCTACAATTCCCTCATGTTCACATCTCCAAGGGCCCCTAGTCACTTTTTGCATCCTTGATTGACTTTAACCAAGCCACCTCCACAACTGTTTAAAGCCTGCTTTTCAAAAGGTGAAGAAATACCCCTAAGAATAAGACAACGGGGGGCACTTACCAAGATGGTGGTGATCACCAGAGTCTTATTGGCGAGGCTCTCTGAGGCGTTGATATCCAACGTTGTGGCGTTCATTGCAAGGGTCTTGTTAGAGTACCACACCCCAATCTGTTGAGAAAGAACGGTGTCAGGCCTGGGAACCATCTTTTGCATTGAGCCTTAAGGCCTGCCACATTTAATGCTGTGGGGAAATGGGAGGAGGGATTATATGGAAGATATACAATCTAAATAACATTCCTTTCCCAGAGCGTCAAGGTCATCTTGCCCTGCACCTGGAGTGGTGTGACTGAGAGGCATCTCCAGTTGGGACGGTTCCTGATTGGGCCTTGTGATGGACCTGTGGCGGCTGGGCAGGGATTTGGTCTTTCATTTGGGTGGGGAAACCCTGGAAGCTTTCAGATTTGGATTTTCCCAGATGTCCCAATATGACATCTCTAATAAAGTGGAACTTTGAGGGACTTCAAGCTTTGGAGTCTTAATTTGTTACGGGTGTAACCCTGACACCCGGCCTATAGGTTCTTACTAGATTTATCCTGTACCCAGGCAGTCCTCGGCTTATGACCCCTCCAACACTTCCGCTGCTAAGCCAGATCGCTGTTAAGTGAGTCTCATCCCACCCCACAGCTCTGGCAAGAAAGTGAACCTCTGCAGGTGTCAAGTACCTAACCCCGTTGTTAAGTGAATCTGGCTCCCCCATGGACTATCAGAAGGTCGCAAAAGGGGATCGCGTGACCCCGGGACACTGCAACCGTGGTAAATAGGAACCAGTTGCCAGGTGTCCGAATTTTGATCAGGTGACCATGGGGATGCTGCAAAGGTCTTAAGTGTGAAAAACGATGGTATCTTTTTCTTCCCAGTGTCGTTGTAACTTCGAACGGTCACTAAACAAACCATTTTACGTCGAGGACTATCTGAAATCTCTGCAAAAACAGGGTATCCTAAGTTGAAGCTCTAGTTGTCAGCGTTCCAAATATCATCCAGAATTACATCAGAGTCCAAGGCATAGCTTTCATCAAAATTCCAATTTAATAAGAGAGACATGTTGGTACA